GGTTTCACTCATGACATCATTGAGGTGCTCAAGCTCCAGCGCCCCGACAAGGCGGTGATCCTTTGCTGGAGCCAGATTACAATAGTGTGGTTAAAATACAAGACAAAGTCACATATAATCTAGTTAATTAGTTAAAATTGATTGATCTTTCCAGCAAGTATCTCCCATACACACACACACACACACACACACACACTGAGATGCTGAGTGTATCCACACAACACAGTTATGACAAGGTTTTTGTGAGTATTCCAGGCTGTATGGATATGTTCCAGAAACATTCTCTCCTGACATTTCACCCACATCTATAGCAGGCATCCTCCGAAGTTGAAGGGTCTGTTGGAAACTAAGCAAGTAAGGTTTATTTATATGTGGAATGTCCAGGGTGGAAGAAAGAACTCTTGTCTGCTTGAGGCAAGTGTGAAAGTTGGAAATCACCACCTTAATTAGCATTTAATGGCCTTGCAGCTTCAAAGCCTGGCTGGTTGCTGTCTGGAGGAATCCTTTGTTGGGTGGTGTTAGCTTGCCTGATAGATTCTTTTCTGGAATTCCCCTGCTTTTTTGAGTGTTGCTCTTTATTTATTCTCCTGATTTTAGAGTTGTCCATGGTAGGGTTTCAACCCCCCCCCCCCCCTCGAATGTTTTCTTTTTGGGCTATGGGCCTGGTGGTAGGTGTACAAATCCGCTCTCTTCTTATTGCGAGTGCAAGAGTTAAAAGATCAGAGATGAAGCAGGCCTGTTCACATGAACGTTGGCCCTGATGCTGAATGCATCTTTCCATATAAGTAACTACTGGGCTGCTGTGAGTTTTCCAGGCTGTATGACAATGTTCAAGAAGCATTCTCTTCTGACATTTCATCCACATATATGGCTGGCATCCTCAGAGGTTGGGAGGTCTGCTGAAAACTAGGCAAGTCAAGTTTATATATCTGTGGAATGTCCAAGGTGGGAGAAAGATCTCTTGCCTGTTTGAGGCAAGTGTGAATGTTGCAATTGTCCAGCTTGATTAGCATTCACTAGCCTTGCAACTTCAAAGCCTGGCTGCTTCCTGCCTGGGGAATCCTTTATTGGAAAGTGTTAGCTGGCCCTGATTGATTGTCTGGAATCCCTCTGTTTTTCTAGTGTTGCTCTTTATTTACTGACCTGATTTTAGAGTTTTTTTAATACTGGTTGCTTCTGGAACATGGCCATACAGTCCAGAAAACTCACAGTAACCCAGTGATTCTGGCCACGAAAGCCTTCAACAACACATTAAGGAACTACTGCCAAGCTGGCAGATACAGGTGTTTTTCCATAAAATTTCCCAAATCGCAATTTACTTTATGTGAAAAGAAGGTAAATGGCTATACTTCGATAATTGCATTCTGTGTTTTGTAAGTATCCCAAATAAGGTAATGTGTTGCTGCAAAGAGAAGGAACTGCAGAGTGATGAGTAACTTCCTTCCTGGTGGTTGTACAGACACACGCAGCCTCATTTGGTCTTCTGTGTTGCAGACAATGCAAGGAGCTTCCTGAAAGCCATGGTCTGTTTGCACTGGTTTGTTTGCATGTTCCTTCCCACAAGAGATCCATCTTTCCCCTGTTTCAGTCCTTCTAGCAGGAGTGACAAAACAGTTTTTGTGTTCTGTCAAGAACTCCCACACACCACACGTTTTTCCTTGCACCCGAACAAGAGAGAGAAAAGAGAATAGAGACAAGGCGGGAGGAAATGAGTGGCTAGGACAGCAATGCACATGGCAGGGTCTGTCTACACTAGAGAATGAATGCAGTTTGACACCTTTTTATCTGCCGTGGATTAATGCCACGGGATCATGGGGGCTGTAGTTTGGTGAGGCGGCACCACTCTTTGTCAGAAAAGCCCAAACGATCTTATAAATTTACAACTCCAACAACTCCATAGCCTTGTGGCAAAGCAGTTAAAATGGTGCCAAACTACATTCATTCTACGGTGTAGATAATCTCTCAGAAAGACAATCTTAGGCAGGATGTGTGACACTGAGTCCTGGAAGTGGAGGAAATGGGGAGGGAAGAGATGGAAATAGAGAAAGACCAACTAGTGGCCTGGAGACAATTGCAGGGGCAGAGAAAAACTCAGAGCAAGATGAGAAAAGCCCAATGTCTGCCCTGGCAAGACAGCCTGCCTGACCTCCAGCTTGCATACCACTATCCACATGTGTGTTTGGAAGGAGGAAGTCCCATTGTTTTCCCTCAGACTTTGAATCCAATAAACAGGCTTAGGCTTAAAGGGAATCCCTGGCAGCGACCTAACATTATTTTTTGCTGCTAGGGCAAGGAGATCAGGCAGATTATTACTTTACATGAAGCCATAAAGGGAAGCTGTGACCCTGGAGTCTGCCTGAGACAAACTTCCTCACCAGCCTCTAGGAGGGGCAAGGGATGCCACATCTCGCCCTGGTCCATTCTCATCATTAGGAGTAAATTGTCATAATTTTAAAGGTCTGCAGAATAATGAGGTTTATCTAATTTACGGAATGGGCATAGATCTAGGAATGGGGGTAGAAGGGGCTTGACCCTCCCCTCCCCCTCCTACGATCTGGAAGATTTGGGCCACCCAGACTTCTGTGCAGCTCAGCCTCCTTGGGAATTATCAGCCAGACATGAAACAGATAAGCAGGCAATGACAAATGTAGAGACAGTAAGCTGTAAAGGCACCAGATCCTGCCTAATCTTGGAAGTGAAGCAGGAAAAGCCTAGATTGGTACTTGGATCACTAAGGAATATCAGGCGCTTTAGGCTATATTTCAGAACAGTGGTTCCCAACCTGTGGTCTATGGACCACCAGTGGTCCACAAATGAAAATATGGTCCATAGCCTCATCATTACTACATCATTGCCTTGAAACCACATGGCAATGAGAGCAACAGGTGTCGCAAAACCCTCTTATAGTGCCAAAGCAACAGGGATGTCAGAAGAGGAGAGGCTGACTATCCACAAAAGATTACTACTACCACATTAGCTCTATAATATTAAATATGGTTTTCTGTGGGTGAGTAGATGGCAATGACTGGATGGCATATGTTCTGTATCAGAAACTTGAGCTGATGTGGTCTATCCATTGTAATTTTCTGAATCACCCCAAATAACCAAACTAAATCTAATGTTGACCAAAAACTATTTGTAACCCTTTTGGTACTAATATTTGAGAGTGGTCCCTGGTCAAAGTGGTTCCTTGTCAAATAGTAACTGAGCAAAGTGATTCCTGGTCAAGTAGTGCCTAGTCAAAATGGTCTCTGGTCAAAATGGTCCCTGGTCAAAGTGGTGCCTTGTCAAGTAGTCCCTGGTCAAAGTGGTCCCTGTTGAAAGTAGTCCCTGGTCAAGTAGTGCCTGGTCAAAGTGGTGCCTGCTCAAAGTGGTACCTGTTCAAAATGGTCCCTGGTCAAGTAGTGCCTGGTCAAAGTGGTGCCTGGTCAAAGTGGTCCCTGTTCAAGTAGTACCTGGTCAAAAAGAGGTTGGGAACCGCTGTTTCAGAGTCTGGAACTGCCACAACCACTCCAAGGGTTCCACACCTAAGAAAACCCTATGAAATTAATGGGGTTGTCATAAACCGACAGGCGACTTGAAGGCATATACACACACCCGCTGCCATCTGTCCTGTGCGCACTTCTTAGCTACACATGGAGGGCACATCTTGTGCCCATGAAAAACTGCTATTTTAAGATGCTGTGCTGATAGTGGGGAGGGAAAGTCATTTGTCCTCCCCGTGCAATGAGTTGGAACTAGGGAAAAGTAGAGAAAACCTTGAGGGTGACACTTGCAGGGAGTTTCTCCACCTTGAATTCCATTTTTGGGAGTGGGGGAGAGATATAGATTCAATGCATCCATCCACCGCTTTCCTTGCTCTTCAGAAGAGGGAAGTGCAGCAAGGCGCTACCTGTTACCTGCTTCTGTGGCAGGCATGACCTGCTGAAATCCCTTTTCCACACCGCAAAGGTAGGGGTGCTGTTTCCACTTGCCAGCCCTCAAACAGTTCCGGAGTTCCTTCCGGTGGCTCACCTTCCCTCTTGCGACACATGGACGCCGGTAGAATGAATGCCATTTCACACACCACGTTAACTTCCACGACTCAACGGTATGGGATGACGGGGATTGTAGTTTGGCAAGGTCTTTAGCCTTCTCTGCCAGAGGGCTGGTGCCTCACCAACCTACAAAGCCCAGGATTCCATAGCATTGAGCCGTGGGCAGTGAAAGTGGTGTGAAATTGCATTCATTCCACAGTGTAGTAGAAGCACTCTCTCTCTCTCTTTCGGTCTCCTTTTGGAGAGGGAGGAGAAGGAGAGAGTAAGGCACTTCCTACCCCACGCAAAGCCCCGGCTTTCTGGCTCCGAGGTGGAGGTGGAGGAGCAACAGGGCGGCATCCTTAGGAGAGGCGCCTCCTCGCCGGTCTCCCTTCTCCTTCCTCCTTTCCTTGAGGAGCCCAGGCTTTGCAAAGCCAGACAAGGCACGCGCGGCAAACCCGGGCGCGCCCCCGCCGCCCGCCCTCCTGCCTGCCTGCCTGCCCCAACCCTCCTGCCTCACCTTCTCCTCTCCCTGGTCACCTTCTCGTGCTTGGGATCGGCGCGCGGAGGAATGCGCCAGGAGGAAGTGAGCCTCGGAGGGAGCGCAGCAAAGAGGCGGAAAGGCGCTYCCCTCCCCTCCGAAAAGGTCGCGAGGAACCGGCTCCTGGGTGCCGCCCACATCAATGGGGAGAGCGAGGAGAGCAAGGGGAGGGGAGGGGAGGGGAGGGGAGGGGGCTTCGGCGGCGCAGGGGTCTGGGTCGCAACCGGCCTCTGGTTGGGCAGCGCTGGGGTGGGCATGGGCTGGCGCGTGGGCCCCTCTGCCTCCCTGCGCCAGCCTCGTGCTCCCGCCTGCGGGAACCTTTCCACTCACATACACACCCACGCGGGCCTCCAAAACTTTGAGCTCCCGGGACTTTCCACCAGGCAGAGCCGTTGTGAGTCACCCAGGGGAAGCCATTCGTGCGGCAACCTGCAAGACGCGTGTTCCACCGCGGGTGGTTTTCTACACACAGGGCACGTAGTCTAGGTGCCGCAGAAGAGAGCCGAGCAAGCACAGGCTTCCGTTTGGAACAATCCTAGAATCCTCGAGGTGGAAGGGAACCCAGAGGACATCCAGTCCAACCCCCTGCCATGTTGGAACGTAATCAAAGCAGTGCCAACAGATGGCCATCCGGCCTCTACTTTAAAACCTCCAGAAAATGACATCATTTAGAATTGCTGTTCCAGGGGAGAATGGGGGGAGGGCAGGGGTGATGGGTAATACATAACTAAGGAATGTATAAAATGTCATTTAAGGAATATTTACTTTTGGAATAATGTATACTGAAATAAGTCTTGTATGGCAAAAGTTTGTTAATTGTTGGGATGTATCAAATAAAATAAAAACCTCCAGAGAAAGAGATTGCATATGGCACTGTCCAATACAGTCATGGGCAAACTTGGGCCTGCCTAGGAAAGAAGGAGCCAGGCACATGCTGGGTGGGGTGGGCCTGGGGGGGGACGGGGCCAGAAGCAGGCAGGGCCTGTGTCATCCTCAGGTTGTCCTACCAGCATAAGGATGGGGCTGCTCACCCTATCCATATGCCAGGAGAAAAGCAGGATACGCAGCAACTGCCCCAATCCTCCCCCCATCCTCTGGTTGTCCTCTTGGCATTATGCTGGGAGGACAAGACAGGCAGCAGTTGAGAGTGTTCCGAAGGACTCTCAGCCACTGCATGCCATCTTCAAGCCATCCTCAGGCATAAAGATGGGGCCGCGCGCACAGTCCTTATACCAGGAGGAGATTAGCTGAGAGCGCTCCAGAAGGCTTTCAGCTGCTACATGCCTTCCTCCTCCATCTTTTTGGCGTAAGGATGTGGTGGACATGGTGTCCTTCTGCCAAGAGATCAGGGAAAATTAGGAAGGCCTGAGGTTAGCACCCAGGGGGCCACATCCGGCTCTTGGGCCTTAGTATGCACATGCCTGGTCCAATAGCTCATATCATTGCATGTTTAGGTGGGATTTCTTTTCTGTATTCTGTAGAATATATATTCTGGAGATTTTGAAGCAGAGACTGGCTATATCTGCTTTTTTGGGTATATATTCCATATAGTCTCCTCTGAAGCAGAGGTGTCAAACAGGGATGTATTATTGCCCCAACCTTATTTTCCATCTTCATTGCTATGATACTTCATCTTCTTGATGGGAAGCTTCCTACCGGAATGGAAGTTATCTATTGGACAGATGGTTAGCTATTTAACCTCAGCAGACTGAAAGCCAAAACCAAGGTCATAACATTTGTTACAAAACTCCAATATGCTGATGATAACGTAGTTTTGGCACATTCAGAAGAAGCCACTCTAAACACTTTTGCAGAAGCATACCAGAATCTCAGCCTCTCATTGAAAACCAAAGTGCTCCTCCAGCAGTCACCAACCAATATAATAATAATAATAATAATAATAATAATTAAAAAAACTTTATTTATATACCGCTCTATCTCCCTGAGGAGGACTCAGAGCAGTTTCCAAGTAACATCACCGAAACATACAAAGTAAACAGCATAACATAAAATTAACAAAACAACATAAACATAAAATTATCACAATAACACATGTATATTAAAAATAATCCTGCCTATTCAGAACAATTAAAAAGACAGGCCAAGGCTAGTGCAAACTCAAAATATGAGGGGACTGGGAATTAAGTACAGTGCTATAACAATCCCTCTGCAATGCCAGAAATACAACTTAATGGTGTAACATTAGAAAATGTTGACCACTTCCACTACCTTGGCAGCCACCTCTCCACAAAAGTCAAACTGAAATATAACGCTGCCTGAGCTCTGCAAGTTCAGCATTTTTTCAAATGAAACAGAGAGTGTTTGAGGATCAGGACATCCACAGGGATACCAAGGTGCTTGTTAATAAAGCTATTGTCCTCCCAACCCTGTTATATGCCTGCAAAACGTGGACTGTTTACAGACATCACACTCAAATCCTAGAACGATTCCAACAGCGTTGCCTCCAAAATTCCTGCAAATCTCTTGGGAAGACAGGCAGACAAATGTGAGTGTGCTGGAAGAAGTAAAGACTATTAGCATTGAAGCGATGCTCCTATGCCATCAACTCCATTGGACTAGCCACGTTGTCCAAATGCTCGATCACCATCTCCCAAAGCAGTTACTATCACCCCAATTCAAGAATGGAAAGCGGAATGTTGGTGGACAGGAAAAGAGATTTAAAGATGGGCATAAAACTAACCTTAAAAACTGTGGCATAGACACTGACAACTGGGAAGCCCTAGCCCTCAAGTGCTCTAGCTGAAAGTCAGCTGTGACCAGCAGTGCTGTGGAATTTGAAGAGGCACAAATGGAGGGTGAAAGGAAGAAATGTGCCAAGAGGAAGGCACATCAAGCCAACCCTGACTGGGACTGCCTTCCATCTGGAAACTGATGTCCTCACTGTGGAAGAACATGTGGGTCAAGAATAGGGTTCCATAGTCACATATCCCTTACCAAGGCACTGCACCTGGAAGGCCATCATACTCGGACAATGAGTATCATACTCACCTAAGTAAGTAAGGATATATATGATTTTGGGATATATATATAGAATATATACCCCAAATACATATACATCCAACCTCTTCTTAAAAACCTCCAGAGAAGGAGACTCCACTACACTCGGGGGAATATTTTTTTACTGCAACTTGAATCCATTGCGCCCTGCTTGCCATGTCCAGCAATTGGTGGTGGTTAGTACACAGAAGGCTTGGCAGGATCATGACCAGTAGGATGGTGATGCTGCAGAAGGTATGGAAGGGGTTAATCTCAGTCCTGGGTTTTAAAGGTCAAAGTAATCTGTCTGTAAGAACTCATGGGCAGCTACAATTTGGGGAGGATGCAGCTGTGATTAACTGCGTAAGAAGAGCTAGTATAGGGATTGCTCTCTGGGAGTAAAATATTTGCCATAATAGGCCATGGAGGCTGGTGGTTGTTCCTCTGGGTTGGTGGATTGTTGGTATCCTGACCTGTTTAGTGAACCTTGCACCTTGAAGAACCTTGAACCCTGGTGAGCATCTTGTTGGTGAACCCTGTTGCCTTTGTATAGTGTTGTGAACCTTGATGTACCTTGAACATTCATGTACATTGAACTACACATTTGGATCACCCTTGAACTTTAGACTCTCTGGCTTAACCTTTGGAATGATGACTATGCTTTGGTTAATCAGTGAACTCTTGGCATTTGGCTCACAGACTGCAACCTTGACTACAGTGTACTCTTGAACTGGCGTTTGTAGTACACTCTAAGTCTTTTCTTTATACCTGCAGCTGTGTGCTATCTATGTTTTAAACTTGGACAGTGGAACAGCCAAATAAGTACATGCTGCTTTAAGTAAATAGTTTTGACACAAGGCGGGTGTTTGTCTTGGTTAATCTCTGCCTGCATACTGGCAGAGCCCTGGATCCTGATGCTGCTCTAGTCTGCAGAGCAGCACAATACAAGCTTGCCCCTTCTTCAGTATGATGTCCTTTTAAAAACACATGGTGATCATGTCCCTTCTTTTCTCCAACCTAAACATACCCAGTGCCTTAAGGTGTTCCTCATAAGACTCAGCTTCCAAACCTTTGAACATTTTGGTTGTGCTTCTCTGGACATATTCTAGCTTGTGAGTATCCTTCCTCAATTGTGGTGTCCAGAACTGGACACAGTATTCCAGGTGAGATGACAATAACAAAATCGAGGGACACTATTACTTCCCTTGATCAAGACACTAGAATCCTATTGATGCAGCCTAGAATCATATTGGCCTTTCTATCTGCCACATTACACTGTTGAGTCATGTTCAGCTTGTGATTTACTAAGACTCCTGCATCCCTTTTACATGTATAGGTATCTCCCATCCTATAATCTCTGTATTTCATTTTTAATGCCATTCTCCCTGTTGAAATTCATTTTGTTATTTTTGGCCCAGCTCTCTAAACTGCTAAGGTAATTATGATCCTGTCCTCTAGGGTATTAGCTATTCCTCCCAATTTGGTCTTATTTGCAAATGTGATGAGTATGTATTCTATTCCGTCATCCAGGTCATTGATAAAGATGTTGAATAGCACTGGGCCCTGGACAGAATGCAACTGGTTATTTCTCTCCAGTAAAATGAAGGAGGAGCCATTGGTAAGCACCTTTTGAGTCCAGACAGCCAGTACCCAAGCCACCTAACAGAAGCATTGTCTAGCCCACATTTTATTAGCTTCTTTGTGAGAATGTCACAGAAAACCATGTTAAAGGCCTTACTGAAATCAAGATATGCTACACCTACAGCATTCCCTTTATCTACCAAGTTTGTAACTCTTGTCAGAAAAAGAGATGAGGTTCATCTGACATGACTTGCTTTTGAGAAACCTGTGTTGATTATAGTATTCCTTTCTAAGTGCTTACAGGTTGTCTGTCTAATTATCTCCTCCAGATTTTTTCCTAGTATTGATGTCAGGCTGACTGGGCAATAATTGTTTGGGTCTTCTTCCCTCACCCTTTTTTTTTTTAAAGATGGGGGAAACATTTGTTTTCTTTCAGTTAGCTGGGACTTCTATTCACCAGGAAATCTTCATGAAGTTTAGCAGTGGTTCTGAGATTATTTCTTCTTTTAATACCTTTGGATGTAATTCATCTAGCCCTGGAAACCTGCATTCATTTTGAGCAGCCAGATATTTCTATTCTGTGCTTCATTTTCCCTT